GGTCTAAAACTGACCCAAATAAAAGTGGATCAGTATTTAAAACTAGTTCAAAAAAGTAGGTATTTATAGGTCAGGTCAAAGTCATCAAGAACAGAGCAAGTGAATCAGTTTTTTTGCACGCCCCTAATACGAATGGCATACTTGTCATCATGCTTGAGACTCCCTCGTACATGGGAAACAGAACAAGCAACCTGGTTTGTCATAACTTTTTATATTATACGAAGAATATTTAAATTAAATTAAAAAACAATAGTTATGTTCATGTATAGTTATTGAATTACTTATAAGTAAGTGCTCAAATTTTTTGACGTGATACTAGGTCAATTTAATGGTGTTGACAGAATTGTCCCCCCCCCCCCCCTCTTAGGTGTAGGGTTTAGAAAAAAGAGAGAATAAAACATATAAACAACACAACAAAGACAAAAATTTATACAGCCATTAGATTGTATGCAAATCTAAAAGTATTTAGTATGCATAAAGTTTTTTTATATAATAAAATTAATGTTTCATATGTTATAGGAGATAAATTTATCTCATACATACACATAAAATAATATGGGGCCTATGTCAGCCAATACGAGGAGAATAGAGAGAATAAAAAAATATGTGTGTGTAGCATATAAAATTTATTTCTTATAACATAAGAAATATTAAATTCATATATAATATTGTTAGTAACAAAAAATAAATTAATAAAGAAGTGATGAGAGAGTACATGATACAAAAATTACCTTGTAGTTATACCATCTTAAACAACGCCTCTTACGAACATTTATAGGGATGGTAAAAATGAACCAACCCGACTAGCTCATAACCTATATAAAATGAATCGTGTTGGATGACAAAAATGAGCTGACAACCCGAATCAGTTCAAAAAGATCAAGTCAACCCATGGGTCAAACGGATCAACTCACCAGTTATCTTTTTTTTTTTACACTTCATTCACATTGAGCTCTACTCGTGCGCGCAAGTCTATTTACTTTAGACAATTAAATATTATAAACACGTATTAAACTTTGTTATAAAATTTAGTTTTCATGTATATCTACTGTCGCCACATGATTGCTCACTGCTGCATTGGTCTTGTCTCCGATTGGCTCGATGGTGGAACAGTAACCAAAATGTTACCTTTTCGCAAAAAAATTATCTAAATGCCACGCGAATAGTACTTTTTACCAAACTGTCACATAAGCATAATTCGCTACGACTGGTAGCATATTATGTTCGCCAATGATTTTATGATACGTGGCACACTTTCGCATGAAAAACTGACGTGAATTTGGTTTACAATATGGCCACGTGTCACGAAATCATTGGCCACGAAATTCGCTACCAATGGTAGCGAATTATGAACGTGACAGTTTGGTAAAAAATACTGTTCGCGTTTCATTTGGTTAAAATTTTTGATAAAACGTGGCATTTTGGTCACAAAACCCTTAATGGTCTTTTTTTTGTTGGGGATGCTCTCTGCTTACAAATTATATTACATGGTAAGTTGGTAACATGGCATACTAGATAAATACTTTTGGGGGAAGGTTATACTTACAATCTATTTTCGTTTACAATCGTTTACAACCATATCTTAATCGTTGATTTCCGTCAATCAACAGTTAAGATATTCGCAAATTAAATTTATTAATTAATTATTAATTCACAATAAATAATAACTGTTGAAGGGCAGAAATCAACGGTTAAGATATAGTTGTAAGAGGTTGTAAACGAAAATAGATTGTAAGTATAACATTTCCCATACTTTTGTATGTAATGTTAATCAAGGGTATCCTTGTAATGTGAATCATGCTTTAGTTTAATTAAACCTTGTAGTTTCTATTTGATGAAAAATGCAACCACTTAAGTTTGCATAGGTGCTATGTTTAGCGTATTTAATGGCTCGTAACTAGGGATTATATTAAGGGATTATATTAAGTGTTTTTCTTTGTAGTAAATATCTTATATTAAATGAAAATCACTTTCTTAGCTTCCCACCACATGTACTAGATGAGTGTGACAAAGGCTATTTTTTTTTTCATTTTTTCAATCCAACCCTAATCCGGCTCGGGTCAGATTGGGTTAGATTTTCTTGTTTTTTTTTTTTAAGTCAACTCTAACCCAACTCATTTTTTGGGATTGCAAACGAATTGAGTCGGGTTGATCTGTTTTTCCATCACTAAACATTCCACACAAGGATCAAGGTGAAAGTAGTTGTAACTCAGGCACGGGATACATGTTGATTTTATTTATTTAATTATTTCATATAAAGATAACGACTACAAAGTTTAGAAATAAAAGGGTAGTAACAATAAAAACTTATAATCACTAATGACCATTTATTTGTATTATAACAATTTTTTAATAAAAAAATAAAAAATATAAACATACTTGTTAATGAGATAGTAATTAAAAATGTAAATGGGCAGCCGGTCTAACAGGGATATTTGGCTTGGCCTACATAAGACCAGACTTAACTTTTAAAAAATAGTTAAATAAAATAAGCCCAGACTTAAAAAAAAATCTATTTAGAAAGCAGGTAATAGGTTTTCTTTACATGCTGAGCCTATAAACCTACATGCCGGTCTATATCTATTATTTATTTTAAATAAAATAGATAAATTATTATTTTAATAATTTTGAATAATAAAGTAATATTATTTTAATTATTTTCTAATTATTAAATACCTAATAGGCTTAAACAAGCCTAGGCTAAGATTTTTATTTTTTTAAATATAATCCAGACTTGACTTATTATTTGGGCTTACACAGACTAACAAACCAGGTCAGACCTAGAATATTTAAAACAAGCCTGATCTATTTAAGTCAAAACTTAGCTTAACCCAGTCTATTTACACCCTAATAATAATTATAATATTATTAAAGATATTAAAATATGATAATATATATTTAATTGAATAATAATATAAATTATATTTAATATAAATTATATTTATATTAATATAATTATAAATTATATCATTTAATAATATATAATTAAATAACATGTTAGTTTTAATAAAAATTGGTCAAATCAAACTCAAATAAAACTAATTAATTTTATTTAATTAAATATTAATTACTCGATGGCGAAGGTGCTTAAATTATGACTATAAACTAAAAGTTTATTTTTTCTTCGGTTAATGCATATAAGTTATCTGCAGTTAGGGGTGATAAGCGAACCAGGGGCCTTTGGCTCGGCTCGTGAAGGCTGAAGCTTACATGCCTAATATTTGTTGTTGGAACCAGGCTTGAACTTGTATAAAAGTTTGTTTAGTAAAAAGGCCTCAGGCTCCAATTCAAAAGCTCGGCCTTGGAGCCTCTCAGGCTGACATAGTATATTAATTTTTATTTTTATTTATATTTTTTATACTATTTGTAATAGCTCTCTCTCTCCTCTCAATCCATTTCACCCCTATTTTATTAGTTAAACAGATTTTTTGAATGATTTTGTTCTATATTATGTTGTTTCGATATACATTGAATTTATGAATATTTATGAAATTACTAGTGTTGTTGATTGTATATTCTGTTTGGATAAATTTTTATTGTCTTATTTTTTTCTAACAGACCAAATCAGACTTTTATTTTTTGTAAATAAGACAGGCCACAGACCGATAATTATATTCGTAACAGGTAACAAGCTTGGTAAGGCCGACACATTTGATCACAAGCTTAGTCTTTTAAGACCAAAGCTCGGCCCGTTAACACACCTATCTGCAGTAAGTCCAATACGACGTTATTTTGGGACGAAAATCATATTGTTTTTGTAATTTTAATTTATTTTAGAGTTATTATAGTCTTTATAATTATAATTTTTTAATAATTTAATCCCAAAACGACATCGTTTTGGGAGTAAATACAGATAACTTATCTGCAGTAACTACAAAAATATTTTTCTGATAAACTAATTAAATAATTTAGATCACGTGTAAACATGTAAATTAAATAGATGCACAACTATATTAGAGTCATATAAATTGAATGAATCAATTCATCCGGTGATGCTGCCCGCCCACAAGAATCAGAGTGCAAATCCTTACCCTAGAAATGGATGACAACAGTACCATTTTTGTAAATGTAGCCAAGGGCAGCGTCATTTTTTTTTGTAAATGTGTATGCATTTAGTCTTACACATATAAATGATTCTCAATACCATCAGCAATTTTTATTGATCTTATTGCTAACTCTGTAACTGAAGGTGTAAAGAACAAATGAGTGAGAGATTTTTCTATTATTTGCCTTTTGTAATTTACTTATACAATGTTAATATATTATTAATGAGTAGTGTTATATTGATAATTTTTTTTTTACAAACTACACCATGTCTCACCGGTAATATACTATTCAAGAGTGTATTACCAGTCAGACATAATGTAGTTTGTAAATATAATTTTCTCCATTATTAATAAGGTAAAACTAATTTAATGTTACATAAAAAAGTGTATCTTATATTGTGAAATAAAATCAAGGTAGGTCTCACTAAAAAATAAAAAAAAATCAAGATAGAACCTACCTTAATTTTATTTCACAACATATATTAGTTTTACCCTTATTAATAACAGGCAAAAAGAGAGAGGGTGAAATGAATAATTGATGTGAGAAAGCATGGTTTTAAAAATAGGGGTTAACGTCTCTTCTTTTATACGAGAGATCAAAATATTTTTACACACATATTTAGACGTGGGTTCTATTATAAATTGTTTCTCTCACCTCATTTTTCTCTCTCTCCTCAGTTATTCTCTCTATAGGAAATAATCATTATCTCATGTAAAATGAGAAAAGTATTACCCTTAAAAATATTATCGCGGTTATAACATATATTTTTTTTTATTGTATATCAAAGAACAGAAAAATATTGGAACAAAAATTAAGAAAATATAACATCTTTTTTTTTTAGTATTAAGAAAATATAACATCTTAAACAAGACCGTCAAGCACATTTCAAATGGGGAGAATAGTAACAACTCATAATAGTGATCCTTTCTCTTTCGTTAAGTAGTTAACTTGGTTTTTCAGATTCAGGATATTGGTAAATCCGTAGACATTATAAGCATGTTCATAAAGAAGAACAAAATAGGACCCGCTTTTTGCTCATTCAGGTGAACTACACACCAAAAGGAAAAAAAGAAAAGAACAAGGGAAAAAAATACATAAGATGAAAGAAAATCTTGAGAGCCTTTTCAATTGCGTTGAGTGTCTTTATGCATTATTTTTGTTTTGTTTCTTGGCTATGCATGCTTGCCATACCCGTGTATGAACCTAGCAGCTTCTTCTGTGTATACATGAGTTTCATTGTCCAGCCTGTCAATAGTGTCAAAAGTCTGTCAAGAACAGAATACTACAGGGGAGCAACTGCAAGAGGATGTGGGGAAGTGTTTTTCACTTACGACAATCGAACAGTTTTGCTCAAAGTTGAGGCTGATGAGAATGTTTTCCCGTCAAGATATCTATTTTCCCCCTTAATCCTGTGTCTCATTCTGAGGTCTTGCTCTTCTACACTCAGGTCCAGTGGAGAATCTGAAGCCTATCATATTCCAAGAGGAAAAAAAAAAATCTTCGCATTAAGGACTCTTGATTTTCTATGTCCTTGTATGCAAACATTGTCTTAAAATACGTTTCTTATAAAATCTTCAAAACAATTTTTTTACTTGGTGTCCTTTTCTTAGTACATAGGATAACATGCATAACAAACAATACGAAACAATTTGAAAATTTATTATCAATAATATTTACCATGACCCATCCCCAAATATCAGCATAGGAGGGTATGTGAGCTGAATAAGCTACGACATCTGCAAACAAAAGGAAAATGGTTGATTTGATTTAACTGGATATCAAAATAGCATTATATAAAACCGGGAAAAACATATTTAGAAAAATGAATATTTCCTTTGCCCTCGTAAGATCACTTACATTTGAAAACCTGTCTCAAGGTGTTGTAGATAGACGAGAACACTTCTTTGTGGCTAAATATTCCAGCTGGTCCTGCCTGAATAAGTATAAGAACAATAATCACAGGTTATATAATTTGGGAAAGGATCCGTTTACAAATTTTTTTGAAATTTTTTACAAATTACACTATGTTCTCCCGGGAGAACATAGTGTAATCAGTGTTCTCCCGGGAGAAGATAGTGTAGTTTGTAAGAATTTGTAACAAAAAAGTTTGTAAACATAACCTGCCCCATTTAATTTTATTTCATTTATTTCAAACATGCTGACTTGGTCCCTCTGCCCAAATATATACCTGTGTCACAAATATGCCACCTTGCTTTAGTCTAGGCTTGACAGTGAACTCATAGAAGGACTTGGTGTAAAGTTTATAACAAGGACCTCCTTGAATTGGGTCTGCCAAGTCGCCAATTATCACATCATAGCTCTCATCTCTGGCTTCTAGCTCAGCCCTGCAACATGGCACATAATAATTGGTACTTGTTGGCAAAGATAATTAAAAAATGATCCAACAAGCATGAAATACTTGTTGATTATCATACCTGGCATCATTGATGATGACCTCTAGTCTCAGATCACGAAATGCTTCCTTGTTTGCAACTAAGTATGATTTGCAGAAGTTCACCACCTCCTGCTCCAGCAAGCACAAAGACATGGATTCTAATCAATTAGCTCCACGGTATATTGGAATGTAAATATAAAGTGAAGAGCTAAATTTGTACATAGGAGATTTTTACCTCATCTATGTCACACATTACAACTTTGTCTATGGTCTTATGCCTGAGTAATTCCCTTGCAGTAGACCCTTCTCCTCCTCCCATAATAAAAACATTCTTTGGGCTAAAACATGGCATAAAAAGATAATGAATTTTTTAAAAAAAAAAAATGCTATCTACATCTCATTAAAATATCTGTGACAGTTAAAGAGCAAAGGAGGTACTTAGGATGGTGAAGCAGAGCCGGATGAACAAGACATTCATGGTAGATAAATTCATCTGTCTCTGCACTCTGAAGCTTTCCATCAATTACCAAAGCCTGCAAGAGGGCACAGGAAAGTAGAGCATATAGCAGATAATTAATAGGCTAGTTTAATTTAGTTTCCTGATCAATAAAGGTAACTTTCTTTTGTGTGAGGCATGTGAACCTTTCCAAAGGGTTTTGTGTCCAACAATGCAATGTCTTGGTACTGGCTAGCTCCTGTATGCAATATACTGCACCCGCACCAAAGATAAAAAATAAAATAAAAATAAAAGGATAAATGATATTTCATATAAGTAACACATGAATGACATCCACAACTTTTTTTGATTTTTTTCACTTAAACAAATAAGGAGATAGAAAGGAAAAGTGCTGCCAAAAGTATTTAAAAAAAAACACTGATTTGTAAAATCTGTAATATAATAGTATCTATATCGATCAAACAGTTGATAATGCTGGACTTTGTAAAGAAAAAGCTAAGTATTATTTTCATTTTGTCTGCCTTTTTCATGGCCATAGGCAAAAAGAGCTTATGACTTTTAGGATCCCTTTACTTTTTCCTAGCATGAGAAGATGAAATCGCCGAAATGTCCGGATATACAGCCAAGAAAACTAGACATTAGCCGCAGACAACTAGTACTGTATTTTTGTCTCACTCAAACCCCCAGAAAAAGATCTTGCTTCTTTTAGCTTCGAATTTTTATGCTTTATTCTTTCCATGAATCTTCTAAAATCATCATTAAGAAATAGAGATAATAACTAATAATAAACTGAACATCAAAAGGCCAAAACACCCGTCAAAACAAGAATAACCCTATGAGAAAATGGAGGGTTCAAAATGAAAAATATAATGAAGGAGTGAGACATATTTTTGGTTTATAGTCCACAAGAAGTAATATATATGCAGAACATCGATTTTGACAATCTGATTGAGAGAAATGAAAATAAATTCATAGTTTTGTCAGTTGAGAAAAATGGTAATGTGGTATTAAAGCTAACTATTATGCTTCTTTGTGTGTCTAAGAACAAAAAAAGAAATAAAAAAGAAGAAGAAGAAGATATATGTACCTATTGAGAGCAAAACACCATCTCAAGTTCTCTTCAATCTCTTCTTCATACCAACAGCTCTTCCTGTAACCATTCAACGAATGGCCTTGGCCATTGACTTTATTAATACTGCCATTGCTGATTGTATTTGAGAAAGCTATCTCACCCATCTTCCTTTGCAACTCAGAACCTTCAGAGCTATTGAACGTGGGGTTGGAAAGAGAGCTAAAGAAGAGAAAAGATAGCGGGAGAAGAGTTGTGGAGAGATTAGGAGAATGGGAGGAGAATATAAGGAGGTGGAGAAGGTAGGAAAATCAAAAGGGACAATGATTCGGGTTGGGAATGTGATAACCAAGAAATATAGCAAAGTGGATGTGATCAATACTTGAAAAGAGCAATATCCTCCTGGGTTTTCGTAAAGTAGAAAACAAATAAGCTTTGGGGGATTTCTGAGGTTGATTTGATACCATAGTTAGGCTAATATCTTTTTTATCTATGTTGAGTTGCATATGCATGCTAATACAGTAATACAAATCCGTCATGAAATAAAAAGATACCTAAAAGTAACTAGTTTTTGGTCATGTCCATAGGGAAAAAAAAAGTTCAATTAATAACTTTACCTATGTGAATCGGTAGGGTGTAAAGACAGTTTTTCCTTGCATATTGGGATTTGATTAATAAGGTTTGGTATAAGACATTAATGGCAACTATCCATTAATACCTATATAGATACAGTCTGTTCAAGAAAATCATCTTCAAGGTTGCCTGTATGGGACTTGTGATCTATTTATGCTCCAATGGGTAAGAAAATTAGTCCTTGCTCTTTATCATGTATGCCATCTCACTTATAACATTAAAAATATTATTGAAGTGAAAGAGAGTAATAACCAACGTATGTAGTTAAAATGCCACAGATTAAATGGTATAGATAAAGAGCTTTAACTTACTTCAGGGTCACTTAAATAAGATTTTCTCAAGAATGCATATAGATGGCATGCATGATGATATTTAGTGATGTTAATGCTACAAAGTTGTCACATAGGAGATGCTTGTTTAATGTAATAATAATATATTACTATATTAGAAAAGGATAAAAGATGATGATTGTGAGAGTGACAATTACCGAAAATTCTGGTAATTCTTTTTTTCGTCTCTGTGAAATGTGTGCAAAAATCTTGGGTTTGTGAGAGGAAGACAGAAAGAGAAGGGAGCGTGCAGTGGAGACCATCATGTTTATTCTTTTTGTTGCTTCAAAAGCTAAGGAAGAGAACTGCGCGTGCCATGCCATAAGTACTCATTATCACTGTCACCCTCAAAGGCAATCCTCCAAACTAAGAAATTCAATTTTCAGCCCCACCATTACAAACAAAAATTAACCATTATCACTATTCCCTTCCTCTCACCATCGGCCTGATCCCCGGTACGTGCAATAAAATCTTTGATACTACTGTTGCACCAAGATTCAGTGCATCTCAAGCATTACACGACAGAAAAAATTTGTCAGAGAAAATAAAACTTTAACTGACATGTAATATTTTTATTGGTGAGATGTACTGAATCTTTGGTACTACAGTAGCATCAAAGATTTGTTCCAGTACGTGATGTGGCATTGGATGGTTTCATCTTTCAATCGAGATTCTTGAGTGCCCTCCAATAATAGATTTATTTTGTACCATTAAATATATACAACATTAGTTATAATACTAAAAATATAATTCACATAAGAAATAATTAAGGTGTCAATATTTATAATCTTTATAATTAAGGTGATAAATATTCATTACATAATTAGAAATACTAAAATTTTCTCCCTCTTATGTGGGTCCAGATATTTTATGTTGACGTAAGGTTGGCATCAGCATGATGTTTTCCACATAGACATTAATGAGGACAAGGGGGACGGGAAAGGAGAAACTTGTTGCTCATGCTGGCCAACAATGAATTCAAGGAAATCATCCTCGGTTGGGGTTACGGGGAAGCTATGATGGACTCAGTGTCCTTTTTTTTCTTTTCCTTCTTTTTTTAAGTTATTGTGGTTCCAGAACTAAAAATTAAATAACCCGTGACAATTTAACTTTTAAAAACCGAAATTGGAACATACATGCTCCATGCAAGACATATAAAATAGATAAAGTATTGGAAGGAGGATAATTTAGAAAAGAGAAAACTTAGAAAGATTTAGATGGAAGATGTTTCTTTTATTTCTACTCTATTTTTTTTTTTTGATACAAAGTGGTGGAGAATACACTTATTTGTATTTGTGGCACCTCTTTGACCAATTGTTAGGATTATGCCAACACATTTCTCATTCAATGGTTGCAAGTGACTCTCTAGGCTTTGTTTGGGAATTGGTTTTAGGAGGGAGAAGGAAAGGAAATGGAGGGTTTTAGAAAACCCTTACTTTGTTTGTGAGTTTAAAATAATGAAGGGAAGGAATTGGAGAATTTTACTAAATCCTCCAAAACCCTTCTTTTTCTTAAAATTAAAGTTCTTCCAATTTAGGGGATTTGAAGGAAAAAATATTAAAAATTATTTATCTACCCTTAGCATTAAAATGTGAAAACTATATAAATGTGAATTATTTTTAAATGTGACATTATTAGAAAAGTCTTAAATATGACAGAATTTATCGACGAAAAATATTTCGTCAAAAATAGTGATGAATTTTTTTATGAAAATCATATACGTCAAAAAAATTTCGTCAAAACTAAAGACGAAATTAAAGATGGAACCAGATTTTGCCATAATCAGTGACATAAATTTTTTACGGAAAAAATTCAGTCAAAATTATTAATAGAATCTAAATTCCGTCAAAACTTTCCACGAAAATATTTTCGTCCAAAATTTTGACGAAACACATTTCCACCGAAAAGTTTCGACATAAAACAATTACGTCAAATTTTTTTACGGAAAACATTTCCATCAAAATTTTTGCCAAAAAATATTTCCTTTAAAATTTGTGACTAAAAATATTTCTTAAAAAATTTTGACGAATTTTTTTTGTCAAAATTCTTTATGTAATCTAAATTTCATCAAAATATTTCCCTCAAAATATTTCACAAAAAAACATATTCATTAAAAATTTTGACGAAAAATATTTTCATCAAAATTTTCAACGAAACACATTTCCATCGAAAAATTTAGACGGAAAAAAATTTCATCAAAATTTAAATTTTGTCGAAAGTTTTCGACAGAAATATTTTCATCGTTTGCAACTTAGAAATTTCGTCGAAAATATGATCTTTTTTAGTATTGTGAAAAGTACATAATAATTTTGTTAGAAATTTTAAATTTAATTTAATTTGTAAAATATGATAATTATATTTATTTTAAAAATGGGATAAAATAGTAAAAATATCCCATTAACACTCTATTTTCTCCCTTACCATTTTTTTAACTCCCAAACAAGGGAAGAGATTACCCTTCGATTTCCTTCCTTTCCTTCCCCTCCCCCCCCTGGATCCCCTTCCTTCCCCTCCCCTCCAAACTCTCAAACAAAGCCTTAGAGTTTTCTATAATCTCATAGTCTAAACATTAATTATGATAGGTACATACAACAAATCTTTAGAACTCTCATGGAGTAATCTAGAGTAGACTATTATACAAGGGGCATGTTACGTTTATAATTTTTTTGTTTACAAATTCTTATAACTTCAATTATGGACACAGAAAGGGCTACCTATAGGTTGGATTAAGGTGTCATATCTTCTAAAGGGGTGTTGTACTAAATACTGATAGGTGAGTGAAGTCGTCAAAAGAAAAATGGCTATTATCAGGTCAATGTCGATAGAGTGAAAATTTCTGTGAACGTCGGCTCTTAAATGGGGTGACAATGTTACAAGTTCCATATTGATTGCCTATACAACTAATGTGGGGCTTATAAGGCCTTGAACATTTTCACTCTTTAAGTTAGCTTTTGAAGTGATGATCTCAAGGTCCGTAAGAATTACATAGTTGAGGTTGTAAGAGTTTGTAAACAAACAATTATAAATATAACCCTTCCCATTATAAAATTTGGGTTAAACTACTTTTAATATAGTTGGACCAAATAATACTAAGCCCACTGGATCAAAATCAAGATTATTATTCAACATTAACAACCCCTGGAAAAGTAAGGATTGAGACACAAGTGTTTGGTAATTTGGTTGGAAATTAGAAAACGAATGTAGAACAACGAAACATTTCATCATTTTTCTGTTTTCAAATACTCCCAAGTGGTAACTAAATTTTTTTTTAGTATATAAGTGGTAACTAATTTATTATTACTATGTTCTGCATCCAAGTGTTTTCAATAGGATATTATGACATATTAACTATATTACGTAGCATAAAATTTTTAAAAAATAATAATATTTAGAAAGGACAAATATAGAATGGATCAATCCTTTTTTTCTAACATCAATCCTTTCTCATCAAATTCAAATGACTTTTGGGCCTTCTAAATTTGGTTTGATCCTAAACTACAGGAGATAATAAGGCCATTGATTAGACTGTACTTTTGTACACTTTTAATGTGCTAAAGTAAAAAAAACAATTGAAAACTTGAAAGTCCCTTTTGAAAATTTGGTAGTAAAGATAGTTAAAATTGATGTCTAGATCAAAGTTGCATATTTTGTGTTTTATGCAGCGTACACTTGACAGGTAGCTATTTTCAAACGTATCCTCTGTATTTGATGTACAGAACTTCACAAGCAAATGCACATTGTTTTCTCGTTCTAGTTATGCCTAACTTGCACATGCTTTGGAGGTCATTTCCATGTGATGGACAGAGTTATTTGATGACATTATTTGCCAAACAAACTTAAAGTGATGAAACTTGCACACCAATGCAGAAGTTTCAACTTTCAAACCATTTTATTTAAGAAAGAAACTAACAAGTAAAAAGACACTCAAATAAAATTTGGGAAGTGTTAACTGTTGCGATCATGGAAAATATACTTGTCGTACCAGTGAAGCGTAAAGTATTGTTTCCACGAGGATTGATCTATCAAGTAATAATTTATCTACGCGATCAAAGTTAGATCCATCTTTAGGATTTTTGAGAATATAATTTAAAATATAAAAATGAAAAAAAAAACTAACCATTAAATGACAAGAACAATAATCAAGAACACTTTGAACTCAAATAACGCAAGAGTAATTAGGGTGTTGATTTCTCCAACGTCTTCCTAACGAATCTACCATTCCGTATGACTAACATTCAATTCATGTTATTGACAATTATTTCATAATTAATTAAACTCTAATCCCTTGGTGTTTTAATCTTTTACCCTATTCAAAACTCTAATCTCTTTAGTGATCTCTCATAGGGCAAGCATT